TTGTATTTCTTTTATATAAGTTTATTATTCATCAGATATTAAAAACAAATATTTTAGCGATAAATTATGGCGAACATATAGATCAATGACACGTGATCATAACAAATTCTGTTTCATTTATTACAATTTTAAAGTACGTATGTTTGTTATCAGAAATTCAACGGAGCGTTTATTTGAAATTGCAGTATAATAACAATAGTAATTCCTAGTAATAATATCGATATTATCTTACGCAGTGCGTGATTAATTAATAGAATCACCGAAAAAAAGCGATCGAACGGGATTACCAGGAAGCCGCCGACTTCCGCGCTATTCCGCTATTCTGAATCGCGATCGCGCATCTCCGCATGCGTGATTACGCCGTTCTCACGTACGGTTCTCACACAGCGAAGCGCGCGCACAATCGTATAAGATAAAAGCATTAGCTGACCCATTACACAGCCGGGACGTTTACACAATCCGGCTGGATCTCCGTGCGCCGTCTGTCCCGCGGTGCGTGTCGAAACTCGCGACGTCACGCCGCAGCGTCGCGTCGTATCGACACCGCGTGATAACCACTTGTCATCAATCACGTCGCATCAGATTCACGTCGCAGAATCCGGGCCGCATGTTCCACGGGCCCCGCGGGTCTTAGCTAAATTCGCCCGCCGGCGAGATTGGATATTTGCGCCTCCGTTTCTCGAGATCCCTGCTCGAGATTATTAATTACCGACGCTGCCATCCCTAAACTGCTATCAATTGCTCGACGGCACTTCGGACAAGTTTCGAGATAATCATTAAGTTCTAATAAGCATTTAATATATTCGATCGCTTCCGGTCTAATTTTCCGACATGCGGCACGAGCCGGAACGAACGTGCTCGTCGAAGGTGATAGACTTATTCCTGACTATCCGCTCGAATGTGAAATGTTCTCCAATCGACTCTGACGAGGGGAAAGAGAGAAGGGGAAGGGGAATTGCTATCTCTCCGCGATATATATTCCCGACTTCTGTATTTATTTAAACCGATCGTGTATTTTATACGTTTGCATTGTATTATAAGCAAATACAATTGGGGGCGCGTCTCATTGCGATGCATAATAATTCCGCTCGTCGGTTAATTTGCCAGACGCGATATTTACAACGCAAATACGCGGACGTGTGTGGGTTATTAATGAAATATAATTATATTTCGCTCTTCGCTTTACGATATTTGGAGGTGAAGTGCGTGGCTTCCTCTCATGTAACGCGATCGTGCATTCTCACTTCTCATCCGGAATTAGCGTGTCTCGTAGATAAGGATCAAATTTCGCCGGCTGCCTTCTAATCGCGATTAAATTCCTAATGAAAATCCCAATGAAAGACTTTTGCCATTTTCTGCGACGAAAATCCGGCAATTATTTCACGACGGAAATAACTTTATCGAGCATTTCGCGAGGTTAATCAATTCACCCAGGCTCCATTTATCACTTGCTGATTTCTTTCACTGATTCTACGGATTATCCTTACGTGTCAATTTGTCAACGTTATTTTCACCATGATATTTTGATGAAACTCTATTCGCTCTTTATTCCGAATCCCTTTATTTATTAAACATCATTTCTAAGATTAATAAGATTGCTTTATGAAAAATTTATTGACTCGACAAAGTACCAAAAAACTCGCGGAACTTTATTTTTTTCGATGAATGCAATATTAATGCTCGGCATGCCGCTTTTATAACATGTGTATCCTATAAAGCAAAATAGATTTATGACTTTAATTTCAATCGTAAAACTCCTATATCGTTTAAAATCGCGGCCTCCGTCCAGCGGAGCTTGAAAAATTGCGTTTGCCTCGTCCTTACGCTTAGATTTTTAATTTTCGTCGTGCGAATATAGAAACCGTAAGATTTACGAGCGAAATCCGGGGGTTTTAACGGATAACGGGATTACGGGAATTGAAACGATCCGCAAGCAAAACGGAGTCATAAAGTCCGGCGGCGCTTTCTTATTGTCCGAA